AACCCCACTGCTGGCCTCACGCTACTTCCATCGATAGGATGAGCAAAGTTGAATCAATATTCCGCTACAACATGGAAATATACACTGCCACACTTTGTGTGTGTGTGTGTCTGTGTGTGTGTCTGTGTGTGTGTGTGAGAGAGAGAGAGAGAGAGAGTTTTCCATCGATAGGATGAGCAACGCACCGGCCAACAACAGGTAAGTCTCCAACTCCACGGCTGGCCTCACGCTACTGGAAATTTCTGATATGCCCTGGTAGCACCTCTCCGGGGGCCAGGGGAAAGACTGCGAGTGTCAACAACGGCGACAGGGGCATGCTGGAAAGATGTACAGTATCGATAAGGACATATGGGAAACTTTTCTGTTGATTCTCAACGGCCAACCGGTAGGTTGGCTGCATACTGGAAAGTTGGGACAGGTACCGGTAGTAGCATATGAAACATGCTTCAGGCCGAAACAGCGCCAGGGGTTTTCTGGAAACATCATTCGTTGTCAGAGGGGCATGACAGGGTAAGTTGTCATCAGAGGCGCATGCCACAAAATAATCGAAACTTCAGGGGCATTTCAAAAAGTTTCCCAAAAAAAAAGAAGGAATCATTCTGCTTTTTTTTTTCTTTTCTTTCTGTGCCCTGCCAGCAAGGCCGAGCGTATTCCACGTTCTAAGGGAAGGCACTCACTGACGACACTCACTGACAGCATGCTCACATTAGTACTTTCCCGAATGTATCTGACCCCCATCACGACCAAAGGACCTGAGGCTTACCCTGGGTCGGGTGGTTGAGCCCGGGGCACACACATTCAGGGGCAGATACATCACGAACTGGTCGCGGGTAAACAAGAAAGCAGCACTGTCGCCGTATCTTCCCCCTGGTCCTATGCGAGTGCAGCAAACATCCGAAGCCTGGAATGTTCTGAGTGCGCCCAGCTGAAAAGGGCCCAGGCCCACAACCGTAACGTTAGCCTGGGCGCAGGCACTGGGGCCCAACCGGAAGTTACTGGAAGCCCCAACGTCCAGGCCCACGCAAATCAGCAGAGGCTGCCACTTCCATATAGGAAGGAGGGCAGCCAGGGATTGGCATTCTGGCCAATGCGTGCATTGCGGACACGCTGCTGCACTAGCACACGGGTGGCTGCATGCCCGAGCTTAGGCCAGGGCGCTCACGAGCGCTGCGAGGTGAGGGCGCTGCAGGGCAACGGGACGCTAGCGGCCATAGCCGGGCTGCAGGGCGCAGGGTAGGTGAAGGGCGGGAGGCAGGGTGGGCTGGAGGAGGCACAAAGAGTGGGTGTCACGGGGTGATGAGGAGAGGCAGACGTACGTACCTGGTTTATGTGGGAGGTCGGCATTTGTGTTGACGACATGTAGATTGGTCTTCAGAGTCGAAGTGAGCCTGTCGCGAGAACGTAGATAGGATAGATATGGAAGTGACAGAGGAGCAACTTTGAATACTGCGCTGGCGTGGCCTGAGGGCTTGAACATTGGCTCACGAGTTCATCGTATTGCTCTCATTTGGATGGAACTCTCTGCTTGTACATGGCTATCTGGACATCTGCGTGATTTTCCAATTTGGTTTTCTGTATATCGCTCTCGCTCATATACCTTTCAATTTGGTATCAGAGTGGTTCGAGATCGCCTATCTGCCGCCGGCGACATTCTTACTTGGTGCGCTGACGATGCTTCTGCAATGATCCCCGTGAGATCCAACTCAAAATACCACATGCAAATTGGGAGCATTCAGATAAAGAACTCACAAGCTTGGGCTATGGCCATGAACAGTACCAATTCGAAATTCCACTCAAAGTACAAATAATATACAATTACAAAAGTTCGGGATTGGGCAGTCTCAACCGCTGCAACACACTCCAGTAAGTACCCAACTTTCTCCCCCTCCGATCTGGTTCTTCTCTCCCTCTCTTACTCTCTCTCTCCACTCACATCTCTGCACTGTTCATCCCGCGATGCTCCCTGCTACTGTTCCTCCCTCTACAATGTCCTGGATCTACCCTGAATGCCTCTGCGGTGTGCCTCACAACAACGGGCGGCTATGGCCGCCAATCACTTCATCTCCCCCTCTCCTGGCTATGGTGGTTTGTCGCAGCCAGGGCGCTGGTCTTCTTCCTCCCTTCAGCGCACTTCTTCGTCCAGGTCGTTAGTCCGCACAAGCTCCAACAGCTTCCACAAATTTGCGAAATGACAACTGACTATCCTCCGGCACTGTAGCCCACAATATATAGTTGAAGTGGGCTGGGTGTGCCTGCTTCAATCGGTACTGGCCTCCTTTGGCCTCTGCCTTCCCAAGTTGCTATTTTGGGAAAGTTCCCAACTTCCGTTGCTAGCTGCTGCAAATTTTGGACTTTGGGGACTGGCATGCTCCTACAGGTGCTGTACTCACTGACCTGCAACACCTACACCTACACCGGTAGGGTTTGGGGACGCAATAATTGGGGACCCTGGAGCAGGGTCTGAGAAATTTTGCAGTGTGAATACATTCACTTATGTACAGTAAGGATACATTGGCGCTGGTTTAGCAACGCGACACCCGGGTAGAGGGGTGGGTCGCAGGAAGGCTGTGGCGACAGCGTCCGAGCTGTGGCAACAGTGGATGTATGCATGATGATAAGAGCATGCTGACATGGCCTTTTGGCTGAGGTGGCACTGCACTGCGTTGTGGATGGTACCGAAGCTACGACCGGTCATCGAAATGCACATTGGCTCAATTGGTGAGAAATCTGTGGTTGGGGGCAACCATCTCCAGGTACGTTGTTCCCTTACTCTCAATTTCTTCTTACCGTGAGGAAGTGAGTCCAACCTTGAGTGTCCTCTTTTTGTGAGTCGTGAGCGCTCTACCTCGAGCGACAACATTCTTCCCAGTGGCGCATCTGGCAGGAGAGGGGCAGTGCCTCTGAAGGGCCCTGGTCGAAGCACGGGTCACGGTCACCATGCCAACCCATGGGAGAAGTACATGCAGGCCATGCTGCTTTGTCCTTTGAGGCGCTTTGCTGCGCTGATAGAAGGGGTGTGCGGACTGACCAGTCCTATGCAGGCACTTACCAGAACATCTATAAATATTCCTGGCGGGGTTCTGAACTGTCCACTGGCTGTGATCGTCGTCCTGTCTGCGACGTTAAATAATTCCTGAGGACCTTGGGGGCTGTCCTTAAACTGCCTCTTGATCAGACAGATCAGTCAGACGTAAGGCTCGTTGCACGCAAGGATAAAGATAGGGCAGTTCTGGTCATAAGCATATTCCTCGGGCACAGGGGTGTGCCGTTAATGCACACCTTAGACACCACTGCTCGATGATGCAGACAGGCACATTGGATACAGGGGAGGGGGATTCCAATTGAAGCTCAACTGTCAATCACCAACATACCCATTGTGCATACATCTGCTCACATAGTTTGCTCCATGGCAACCACGGACCCGGACCCGGACATGTCTGGACATTTGTCTGGACTGGTTCAGACGTCCGCTAATCCGGACAGGCACCGGACAACCGGACAGGACCGGACCCAGACCGTCCGGATCGGTACACCAGACACAAAAAATGTCCAGGCCGAGGGGAGGAAAAAAAAAAAAAAAAAAAAAAAAAAA